GGATTCCTGGGGGAGCAGTTCCTGCTCTTGAGGGGTTCCTGAGGGGGCAATTCCTGCTCCTGGTGTGTTCCTGTGGGGCAGTTCCCATTCCTGTGGGGCAGTTTCTCCCCCCCAGGGGGGTTCCAGGGCTCACCTGTGCTCACCTGTGCGTGTGTCCGGCAGTTCTGTGGGTCCCTGTGGGGCTCACCTGTGCTCACCTGTGCTCACCTGTGCGTGTGTCCGGCAGTTTTACGGGTACCTGTCGCAGCAGCAGAACATGATGCAGGATTACGTGCGCACGGGGACGTACCAGAGGGCGATCCTGCAGAACCACAGCGACTTCAAGGACAAGGTGTGGGGCTGGCAGCTCCTTCTGGGGCTTTTTTGGGGGGATTTGGGGGCATTTCGGGTCATTTTGGGGGATTTCGGGTCATTTTGGGTTTTTTGGGGGGGATTTCGGGTCATTTTGGGGTTTTTTGGGTGGGATTTCGGGTCATTTGGGGGGATTTTTTGGAGGGATTTCAGGTCATTTTGGGGTTTTTTTGTGGGGGGGATTCAGGTAATTTTTGGGGCTTTGGTTTTTTTGGGTAAAAATTCCGATGGTTTTGGGGGAACTCGGCTCGTTTTGGGAAGATTTGAGTCAGTTTTTGGCCTGGTTTTAGGGGAGCCTGGCGTGGATTTTGGGGGGAATTTGGGTGGGATTTGGGCAGGATCCAGGTGGGAATCCTGCCTCACCTTTTAGGGAATCTGCCACATTTTTTTGGGAAGCTTTGGCTCAATTTTGGGGGTCCAGCCATCCTCATTTTGGGGTCAAACAGCCTCATTTTGGGTCTGGCTCCATCCCAGAGCTGGAAATTTGGTTTTTGTTCCCATCCCTGGGGCGTCCTTGGCCCAACCCCATCCCCACAATGTGTTAAACCCGGGATCAAACCTGGGATCAAACCCAGATCAAACCCGGGATCAAACCCAGATCAAACCCGGGATCAAACACAGGATCAAACCCAGATCAAACCCGGGATCAAACAGGGGATCAAACCAACCCGGGATCACACCCAGGATCAAACCTGGGATCAAACAC